CAGCAACCCTAGCAGCATGGAACCTACTGCCCAGCATCCTAGCTTCATGAAACTTACTGTCCATTGTCATAGATGCAGATAGTTGGATGGAGCTAACTGTCCATCATCCTAGCTGCATGCAGTTAACTATCTATCATCCTAGCTGCATGGAGCTTACAGTCCATCAAAAAAAGACACCAGAGCTGCAGAGATGGTTCAGTGAGGAAAATGCTTGCACAAGAGCCTGAGTTCAAATTCCCAGAACCCATATAAAAGCTGGATCCATGGCACCAATATCTATAATTCCAGAGCACCTACGGAAGACAAAGGCAGAGACAGGGGAATTCCCAGAAGCTTGGGGGCCATCTAGCCTGGAGTATGAAGTGGAAAAACAATAAAAAATGCCTTGTCTTAAGTAAGGTGGGAGGGAGGCAAAAACTGACACCCAAGGTTGTTCTTTGATCTCCACACAACCACCCACATTCTCTCTCTCTCTCTCTCTCTCTCTCTCTCTCTCTCTCTCTCTCTCCTCTTTCTTCTTTTCCTCCACTCTCCCTCTCTCTCTCCCTCTCTCTCTCTTGCTCTTTCTCTCTCTCTCTCACACACACACATACACACACACACTCACTCACTCTCACACACACACACAGAGCCATATACACACACACTCACACACACAGCCATACACATGTGCACACACACAAAGACAAGAATTTGAGGTGCTTGTTAAAAAAAAATAGGAGCCACAGACGGTGGTGGCACATGCCTTTGATCCCAGCACTCGTGAGGCAGGCAGATCTTTGAGTTTGAGACCAGCCTGGTCTACAAGAGCTAATTCCAGGACAGCCTCCAAAGCCACAGAGAAACCCTGCCTCAAACCCTCCCCCCCAAAAAAAATAGGAGCCAGGGTGGTGGTAGTGTATGCAAGGAGGTTGTGAGTTCAAGGACAGCCTGGGACCATCGGAGACCTGTCTCTGAAAAGTAAATAAATTACTAAAATGAACAAGGTGCTGAGTTTAAAGATGACAAAGGATGCCTTGCTCTAACACACTGTCGGGGAAGCAGCGTCAGCCAAGATTCAGAGGTTTAAGCAGCAGAAAACAGAAAGGCGACTCACAGTAGTAGGAAACTCGGACAAGGACAGGTGGATGGGAACCAGGGAACCTAGGAAGATAGGGTGAGCAGAGTCTCTTTAATGTCTCATGCACAGAATGTATAAAATCCAACTTTATTTATGCGTTTGTTTATGTGTGTACCTGTGCCTCAGCATATGTGTGAGGTCACCATGCCTGGTTTTCTTTTTTATAAGAGTTGCAGTGGTCATGGTGACTCTTCACAGCAATAGAAACCCTAACTAAGACAGTGTGTGTACTGCTGTCACAGACGAACTCAAGTTTGGTTCCCAGTACCCACATTAGGCAGCTTACAACCACCTATACCTGGGTTGACACCATCTTCTAGACTCCAAGAGTGTCGGTGCACATGCACAGGCATTTACTTGTGTATTCGAGAGTGTACACACACACACACACACACACACACACACACCATTCACAATTTAAAAATACAAATTAAAAAAAAGATGCGGAACCTGGCAAGTCCCTGGGCCAAGTTCAACCAGAAGCCAGTTTGAATTTTGCTGTTTTGTTTTGGTATAGCCAGAGAGTTAAGAATGTTTTTCTTTTAAGCATTCTTAAAAGATTGTTAAAATAAATAAACCAAAAGGAACATGTGTACTGTGTTGACCCTCAGAGTGAGAGAAAACAGAGCGAAGTTTCTGAGGCAACTCGTGGGGAATGTGTACAGTGTGTCCAGTCTTACAGAATATAATTTTGAATGTTCGTCTAAAAAAATTATATTTGACATGATGTCAACTATGGGAAGCTATGTCTTGTGCCCACAGGACTCCAAGGAAAATGAAACCATTTGTTTGGGAGTTGTTTAAAATGGTTTGTTTTTCTTAAATGAATTCTTTCTAGATTAGGGAGAGTTCTTGCCTAGCTTATGTGAGGTCCTGAGATCAGTCTTTGGAATGTTCTTTTTCTTGATTGTACATACACACACACACACACACACAACACACACACACACACACACACACACACACACACACACACACTTCTTACCTGAAACAACCCAGATGGTCATGGGTAGGGAATTAATTATATGGATGTATCCTTATGATGCAATACTATGCAACTGGTAAAAGTGATGGTGCAAATGTGTTTTGTTTGAGTTGCAAAGATGCCTGTCATGTATACTCAGTTAACATTTATTCATTCCATTGCAGTGCTGGCTATTGAACTATACGAGGCAAGTGCTGCCACTGAGCCATCCTCTCAACTCTCATTTTGTTTTGAGACAAGGTGTCACTATATAGCCAAAGCAAGCCTTGAACTCACAATCTTCCTGCCTCAGCCTCCCGAGGGCAGGGATTGGAAGTGGTCTTAACATGCCTGGCTTGAATCAAATACTTGGCAACAGAACTTTACTGCCTATACAATATTTTTCATGGCTGTTTAAGACTGAAATTTGAAATTTATAATTTTTATGTGTTATAAATTTTGAGCCCCCCCCCAAAAAAAAAACCAAACAGGATCTTACTGTGTAGCCCTGGATATCCTGGAATTCACTATATAGACCAGTCTGGCCTCAAACTCACAGAGACCCACCTGCCTCTGCCTCTCCAGTGCTGGGATTAATGGTGTGTGTCACCACATCCAGCCATTGAGATTTTCCCCCATGTTATTTGTAAGAATAAAACCCATCTTTAGATCCCAGCTATACAAAAGTTGGCGGCAGGCTGTTTCCAAAAGGTGATCTTTAGGATCTTTGAAGCTGGTTCCTAGATGGAAGGTGACTAGTACTGATAAACTGTGGCTGATCTGAGGCAGATAAAGGTCAGTAAGCTTCCAGCTTGGAAGGCAGCCTTTGGGCTGTCCATTTTGGGAATGAGTTGTTCAGCCACATGGGCAGCTTGAGCCTGCTGGACCAGCTCCAGCATACTCCGGTCCCCATCCCTCTTTGGTGACACTCTGATATCAATATTTACCCACTTCTCGCTCATAGCTCTCAGTAGAGTTTTTAAGTACAGTCAGAGCGGCCGGCACCTAGCTTCTTATCAGCTCTATGACCACGCATGGTGGCTGTAAAACTGCAGATAAACTCCCCTGGGGAGCGGGGAGAGCCCTGCCTTATCACACACCTACTGCAATAATTAACCAAGAGGGGAAATGAAAACAAATGATGACCAGCACATGCCTACTTGTACCTCAGCTTGTGAGCTCAGTGAGTTCCACAGCAGCTGTGCTGAATCCTGCTTAGCTATTGTTCCTTCACCCTGAGACCCAGAGACCTGGAGACCCTGTCCTTACCTACTGTCAACTGGCATCCCCCCCCCCCCCCCCCCCCCCCCCCCCCACCCTGTCACATCAGATCACTAGCAAGTGAGATGTTCTCACCAGAGGCTAGCTAGAGGATAAACCAAGATATGGGCCATGGTGGGCCTGCCCTACAAGGATGCTTTGTGTTCCATCACCCTAGTAGTTGGGATCTAGTTGTTTGGAGGTTGGGAGGGTGGGAAGGAGTGATTTTGGCGTTTTCAGGCAAGAGCTCAGGTAATCCAGATTGGCCCTGGACTTGATTTATAGCCGAAGATGATCTTGAACTCCTTATCCTTATGTCCAGACCTCCCAAGTGCTGGGATTACAGGCCTGCCAGCACCACCATCTTTGGCTTTGGTGTTTTATTTTTTGAAAACAAGTATCTCTGTTTACTCATGTTTACATAGCTACTCACTGTGCAGCTCAGGCTGGCCTTGAGTTCAAACAATCCTCCTGCCTCAGCCTCAGGACTGCTGGGGATTACAGGTGTGAGCCACCATACTGGCTCAATGAAGCAATGACTATTATCTGCCTTTTATTGCCTGGTGTTCCCAGTTCAGATTATATATCTATTACACAAATGCAACAGGCATCTTGCCATACCAAATAGCACACAATAAGTGCATTCATACATTCAGCCAACAGCAATGACTTCTAAACCCTGTTAAATAAGTGGGACTGTTGGGTAGGCTGTGGGAACACTTGAGTATTTTAAACAATTAAAACAAACTTATAAAGCTATATCATGGAGCTGGGCTTGGTAAGGAAGGCCTATCATCCAGCTACCCAGGAGACTGAGACAGTAAGATTACAAGCTCAAGACCAACTTGGGCTACACAGAAAGTTTACGGCCAGACTGGGCAACTTAAGGAGATCCTGTTTCAAAATGAAGTGGAAAAAACAGACTGGGGATTTAGCTCAGTGATGAATACCTGCCTAGAATATTTGAGGACCTAGGTTCAATCCCTAGTGACACTACACACACACACACACAATGCCCCTCAACATCTACTGCATAGATGTTGTATGCAAACATAAGTTGCATCAATGTTGTAGGCAAAGGGATTAAAATGGGATGGGAGCACTGGGGTATCACTTTTACACAACTTCCACACAGTTAGTGGAGGAGCCTGGCTGACCACACAGGGTGCTGTGTGTGTGTGTGTGTGTGTGTGTGTGTGTGTGTGTGTGTGTGTGTGTGTAAGTCAACATCAAAGGCAAAGTTCAGGTGGCTTCCAGGAGAGCAGCTTGGATTTCCCCAAAGAACTCTGGAGTCTAAGTAGGGAAGTCAGCACCCACCTCCCCATCACAGGGAAGAATACACATGGCCCCTCAACACTCTACATCAGCATTTCATTCCAACGCAATGTGAAAGGATGGCCTGCTCCCAGCCCTTCTCCTGAACCCACAGTGGTAGCAATGCAGGGAAGCCTTGTGCCTTAGCTGTTGGAGAAGATGGGCTCAGGATGCTATCTGGCCTCAGAGTGCCATCTAGCATCAACTACATCAGAGGAGTGGATATGGGATGAGAACTCCAGGATGACATTCTCTGTGCTTCTAGAGCCCAGCCCAAGCTAGACATAACCTTGATCCCCAAGCTTGCCAACTTATTCCCTCTTGCCTCTTCCCCATCCATAGGCAAAAGAAGATGGAGTGGATGCCACTCTCCCTGCCCGCCTGTAACATATTAGTGACTGTCTTCAGTAGACGGGGATAACTGCCTCTGAGCTCCTTTGACCATCTAGTAGACCTCATCGCTGGATTACCTGGTTTCCATTCTTTTATTCTTCCTTGGAAGGGCTTGTCATGCAATGTGTCAGCCTGGAGGGTGAGGAGTGTTGGATCTGAATAGATCTATCATAAGTATCCTGGTCATGTGATCCAGTTTTAGCCAATAAGACCTAAGCAGGAGAGGCTCATGATTTCTTGAGGAATGAAACCACAGTTGTCATCATCTGGCTAGCACTATGGTTGCTACTCTGTGATCGTGAACGAGCGTTTGGAGGAGGGTCTCTGAGACAATGATCCTGATGTACCTGGGTATAATTGACATAACAGGAGAGTCAAGCCAATACTAAAATTCTGTTTGGGCAAAAGATAGAACCTTATTTGTTTAGCCACTGTAATGATTTTGGTTACAGAGATCAAATATACTCCTGGCTGGTTGAACACAAGCAGATCACACCTGGGTGTTAGCTTAGAGCCAATAATAGCATCAACGGGATGTCTGGAGGCTTGGCTGTGTTTACCAGGCAACTATGGCACCTCAATGCTCAACAGGACTGGGGTATGGGAGAACTGGTCCCCTGACAGGTGACTGTCCTGGGTAGGTTCAATTGCTGTGATTGACATTGTAACCAAAGCAACTTGGGGAAGAAAAGGTTTATTTTCGCTTACAAATCTCAGGTCACACTCTGTCACTGGGGGAAGTCAAGACAGGGACCTGGCAGTAGGAATTGATTCAGAGGCCATGGAGGAGTGCTGCTTACTGCTTTGTTTAGTCTACTTTCCTATATAGCCTAAGACTATGCAACCCAGGGTTGGCATCACCCACAATCAGCTGGGTCCTCTGACATCAATCTTTTTTATTTAATTTTTTTTTCATTTTATATACTAACCCCACTTTCCCCTCACTCCCCTTCTCCCACCCCACCTCCTCCCTTTTCCATCCCCCACCCCCCATTCATCATTAATCAAGAAAATGCCCCCACAGGCTTGCCTATAGGCCATTCTTAGGAGGGCATTTTCTCAGTTGAGGTCCTCTCGTCTCAGATGACTCTATCTTGTGTCAAGTTGACACAAACCTAACCAACACAGTGATGGATGAGTTTGAAAGAGGTAAAAAGTGTCTCCATGCAGCCTGATAGAGATGAGAAGGTCCCAGACTCAGAATTCTGGCTCAGACCCAGGGTTAACTCCCTGCTGCTAGCCTCCTGTTTCCTCAGCAGGTGGTGACATCTTGCTTCCCTGATGATTTTATGTTCCCACCTCTCTCCCCTGTTCTCCTTGCTGCTCAGGGGAAGGTGGGAAACTGCTCACTGCCCACCTGCTGTATCGCAGAACATTTGCTGAGTGAGCAAATCAACGCACCAATGAGCCTGTCCTACCAATGCCAGCCTGAGCTCCGGGCTAATCCATAATTTTTCTGTTTGACTTGGGAAGGCACCCTGTAATTTGAATTCTGCAAATTTACCTTCCTAATTCTGTTCTTTGACTAACACAGAAATTGCTTTGCACAGGTTGAGGGAGGGAGATGGGGTGGGGTGAGGATGGGGGGTTACTATCGCCAGGTATATGATCCCTACATTGCCAGTCTATAGCTGCTCAGAAAGAAGGCAAGTTATCAATATTTGAAGCATGTGTGGGGGGGGGGGGGGGGGGGGGGGGAAACCTCCTGCTTCTTCATTAGCTGACACATGCAAATAGGTCAGATGAAACCCTACCTCTCACCTCAGGCTTTATGCAGGCCCCTGTCACCTACAGAGTAATTAAACACAGTGCATTCCAAGACTCAGCTATGAGATACACTCATCCCTGCACAAATGGAACAAGAATCTTTGAATGAATAACATGATGGGGGACAGGGATTCAAGATTTAGACCCTGATGGAATCTGGCCTGGCATGAGTCTTTTAGCTCATTCCACTGTGGCCTCAAGGCCAGTATTTAAAGTAAATGACAGACATCATTGCTTCCCCCAGAGCCTTCATCCCCACCATTCACCTTGGCCCAACATATTCAGCTCCTGTCCATAAGAGCAGCCAGATGTCTTGTCTGTGCCCCTTGTGTTGACCTGCAGCTGGAGGAGGGGCTGTACATGCTGGCTGTGAGCTCAGAATGCCTGTTAGAGTGCCTGTGAGTGCCTCACAGTCCTATCACTGAGCTAGGCTTCCTAACGTCAGCTACTTTGGGCCTTGACCCAATCCAGGTCTGCAGGTTCACAGCACCCTATAGCTGGCTTTGCCCTGTGCTGCCTGCCTTCCAGAACTAGAGGCCGTTCTTTGTGGATCTTCACAGGCACAGGCCCTATCAGGTGTCACTGGTCTTTCCAGACAGCTGTCATTCATCAGATACCCATCAACCATGGGTCCAACCTGTGCCAACTACTAGGGGCTTCACAGATGTAGTCATTACCCAGGAACCCATGGGAGAGACAGACATGGAACTGTAACTTATGAGTGATGTGTAAAGCCAGAACTGAAGATCAAGAGCTCCATGAATTCCCAGGGCACTTTTTTTTTTTTTTTTTTTTGCCAAGGCTGGCTTCAAACTTACTATGTATCTGGGAATAACCTTGAGTTTGATTCTTCTGTCTCCACTCCCAGAATCCTGAGCTCATAGGTCTGACATACTCCCAGTTTATGCTGTGTTGAAGATGAAAGCCAGGGTCCTATGCATGTGAGCTACCTGTATCCCCAGACTCTCTGACACCTTATAAAAAGGAAAGGCCAGACAGAATGGAAAAGTCAGACACGATGCCACATGCCAAATGGGCACCTGAGGGGCCTGACACTGCCCCCCAAAATCCCTCCCTTGAAACCAGTTCTCTTCTCCTTCAGGAAAGGAAGACAGACGCCTTGCTAGCCAAGAGGATCCCAGTGACTTTGCCAGCCACAAGCCCCCAGCAGCCATGCTGATAACTCATCTCTGGGGGAGCATCCAGTACCCCCATAGCAGCCTCAGCAGGCACCCCAGATGGTAGCTTTGTCAAGCCCCACTGTGTGACAAGAGCATAATCTCTCCAAAGAGAATGTATGTATGTTCCTGCCTGAAAGGGAGGGCGGAGAAATGGTCCAAACCTCTGGGACTGCACATTCTGGCCCCAGATAACACAGCGAGGGTCTTGGCAAGGCCTCTCCGATTCTAAGAAAACCACAGAAGGAAACTGTTGTCCCTAGGAGATTAGGTGAGACCAGAGACACTGAGACCATGAGGGCCAAGAAGTTCTGGAGAAGGTGGGGTCTGAGCAAAGAGCCCAAGGCAAACATGAACTTTAAAAAAATTAGGTTCTGCCCACCTGGTGACACAAGCCTGTAATCCCAATGGAGAGGCTTGAGAATTAAGAGCTATATAGTGAGACCCTGTCTCAAAAATAGTAAATACTTATTTTTATTAAGAGTAATAGAAAATTTTATTTTAAAACTGGATTCGTTCCTTTTTCTCCCCCATGCTAGTTCTTAACCAATGCCCACTCAATGTGTTCCCAGAGAGACAAGTTGCTCATTTGAGTGTCATGAGAAACCCAGCAGTGTGAATGCTCCCAAGGATGGAATTTATTTGGAAACAAATTACTTGATTACTCAGGAAAAGGTGCGACAGCAACGGAAGTCCTGTCAGGAAGCAGGGGAGGCACATTTGGTAATGGGACATAATTTCTTTATGCAAATGAGGCTTAAGGTCCCCAGGAAAATGCTTTCCCACTTCCTGTGGGGACCCTGCTCCACCATCCATCCATGTTGGGGTGGGGGTGGGGGTGTTTACTCTCTTTTCCCTCTCAGCCACTAGTGCACAAGGTGTCAGGGGAGACCCTGGCAACAAGAAGGTCCCAAATTAATCTAGTGTCCTAGGTACAAACTTATTTCTCCGTAAAAATCCTTTTTAGGCTGGGATTTGAAGTGGCCAGGAAGGTCTATGTGAGAAGCAGATGTTGAGGTGTGGGGAGAATGGGAAGGCCACCAGACACCCAAATGCAGGGGAAGAAAGGTGGTGGGGGGATATGGGACACTATGTGCTCTAAAGAAACAAGTGTGACCCTGGGAAACTCCTCAAGCTCCACAGGAACCCCCATAACTGTCATGGTCTAACACCATCACTTTGGTTCCTCTGCAGAGCTCTGTCCCAAGAGGAAAAGTTGACCTGGTGTGTTGAATGTAGCATCTAAGAGCCCAGTTACAGGCTGATTTAGAGTGTCCTAAGAAGGAACCGATAGATACAATAAATTCCCCTTGCACATACCCTTTGTCTGCAAGGGACACATCTCAAGACTCCCAGTGGATGACTGAAGCCACACACATGGTACTGAGCCCCATAGACCTATGTTTTGTTACTTTTACAGACCTGTGAGAAAGTCTGATTTATAAGTCAGGCACAGCAAGAGGCCAACAATAACTAGTAATGAATGAAAACAATTAGGGTCAGGAAGGTGGCTCAGCAGGTGAGGGTGCTTGCCACAAGCCCAAGGACCTGAGTTCAATCCCTGGAATCCACACGATGTTAGGAGAGACCTAATTCCTATAGATTGTCTCTGACATCCACACATACATCATGGCACATACATGCCTAGATACACACAGATGCACACAAGATAAATAAACAAAAGGTAATTTTAAGAAGGTTAAAAGGGAGTGGACCAATGATAAAATCCCATAAAAGGTTATATTTAAATCTAAATACATACATATTTAAATTAATGACATAATTTTTGTTTGTCTGTTTTTTGTTTTTCGAGGCAGGGTTTCTCTGTGGCTTTGGAGGCTGTCCTGGAACTAGCTCTTGTAGACCAGGCTGGTCTCGAACTTACAGAGATCCTCCTGCCTCTGCCTCCTGAGGTGCTGGGATTAAAGGCGTGTGCTACCACCGCCCAGCCTAATGACATAATTTTGAAACAAGGTCTCTCTAGGTAGCCCAGGCATCTCAGAACTCAAAGTCCTCCTGCCTCTACCTGCCAAGTACTGGGATGACCGGTGTGTATCGACACACTTGATTGTGGATTTTTTAAAATAATTTCCATAATTTTACAGAGACTGGAAGTAGATGGAGAAGAAGCACAACTTATGTCCACATAGCAACAGTAAGGGGTCAACTGGAGAATGCTGGTGAGATGGCCCAGTGGCTGGGAGCTCTTACTGCTCTTCCAGAAGACTTTGGTTCAGTTGTCTGCATCCACACAATGGCTTGTAACTCCTCCAGTTCCAGGGGATCCAACACCCTCTTCTGACCTCTGAGTGCAGCAGGCACAGTGCACATACATACATGCAGGCATTCACAGTTACACGTAAAATAACTCTTTTTTTGTTTTTTTTTCCCAAGACAGGGTTTCTCTGTGTAGCTTTGGCTGTCCTGGAACTCATTCTGTAGATCAAGCTGGCCTGGAACTCATAGACCTGCCTGCCTCTGCCTCTTGAGTGCTGGGATTATAGGATGTGCCACCACACGCTGCTAGTCTTTTTGTTTTGTTTTTTTTTTGTTTTTTTTTTTTGAGAGGGTTGTTTTTTTTTAATGATTTACTTATTTTTACTTTTTTGTGCATTGGTGTTTTACCTGCTTGTATGTCTGTGTGAGTGTGTCAAAGCCCCTGGAGCTAGACTTACAGATAGTTCTGAGCTGTCCTGTGGGTGCTGGGAATTGAACTTGGTCCTCTGGAAGGACTGCCAGTGCTCTTAACCGCTGTCTCTCCAGCCTGAAAGAGATTAATGCAAGTGATTGCCTCACATAATTAGGATCACATGGAAGTCCCATTATCCCCTCATTGCAGACAAGAGGCAGGGCCAGGTCTGGGAATTGCCTATGAGTCCTAGTTCAAGTCCAAATGTCAAGGCCTGAGGGAGGAAGGCATGGAGGGAGAAGTGTCCATCTTGATTGGAGCCTGAACCTAAGAGCAGAAAGCACCCACAATGGGATACAGAAGGTACCTTGGAGTACAGAAGATAACTGTGTCCCTCAAGCCCAGAATCAGTTTGCCCTCCCCTGCTCTTCTTCACACTTTCATAGATGAGTCAGATGATGTCCTCACCCATACCCAGCTATCAAGACTGTCCATCTGTCTGGACATGAGCCTAGCCCAGGGAAGAGAGATTAAAGACCTTACACATCTGGTGGATGGAGGCCAGAATCAGCTGGTTCCCTGGCTTTCTAGGAAGTGACGCTGGCTTCCAGCTCTCTTCAAATCTGTACATATTTGCATTGGGGCTTTCTCCCTGGTGAAGAACTGAAGGATAGGCATTTAATGTTAAAAATGACCTGGAAAACCAGGCATGATGGGACTTGCCTGTGTTCCCAGAATTCAAAAGGCTGAGGTGAGGGGATTGTGAATTTCAGGCTAGCCTGGGCTACAGTGAAACTCTGCCCCACCTCCCACTCTTATTGCCATCCTCAAAACAAAGGCAAACAAGACAAAACGGAAAACAAAGGTAGAATTTTGCTCTCACTGTATACCTCTGGTTAGACTGGAGCTCACTATGTAGACCAGAGTGGCCTTGAACTCAAAACTTACAAAGATGTGTAACCTCTGTCTACAGAGTGCTGGGATTTTGCAGTCCCCTCTTGGCAGAAAGTTTTGGAACACTCATTGTAACTTATTTATCTTGGCCCAGACCCTATTAAAACTTGAGGGACTATTCAAGTATTCTTTTTAAACATTAAAAACAAACAAAAAGTTTTAGTGCGTGTACAGACACACACTAGGACAGGCACATGTGCATACCATGAGGTCAAATGATGGCTTTCAGAGGTAGTGAGACTCTAGGTCTAACCTCAGGCTATCGAGCCCCAGCTCTGGCCTTTTCTGTGCTGGGCCACACTGAGGACCCACAGGGAACTCACACCACGATAGTCATCCTTAAACCTAGCTGGCCAAAAGGTCTGGGATGGAGCTAGCCCTTGAATGGGAAAAACAAAACAAACAAACATAAAACAACCAAATAATTAAAAACAAAACCCACCTCAATAGAGAGATTGGGCAACGTGAGCCAAAGAGAACACAGTATGCAGATTAGGGCGTCTGGGCTACCCATGCATTGGCTGATTGTTGTCTGACGTCACAATGGCCCAGCTTGAAGCGCTGCCCGCAAGTTATTTGAAAAGCTTTGGGTTTCCTGCGTTTCCTGCCTTCGGAAGGGGAAAAGTGTTCACGTGTACAGAGGGCCGACAGGCGTGGGAGGGGTTTGTTTGGTGGCTCTGCTGCCCCTGACAGTTAACCAAGGTTGGAAACAGAACCGACCGCAGGGGAAGCTGTGAATTCCACATGACCTATGGGGACTTTGCAGCTTCTTCGGAAGCCCAGGCAGACTCAAACATCTATGATTCAAACCGGGTGATTTAATTTTTTTTTTTTTTTTTTTTTTTTTTTTTGAGACAGGGTCTCACTGTGGAGCCCTGGCTGGCCTGGAATTCACAGAGAGCCAGCTGCCTTTGACTACTGGTTACTGGGATTAAAGGTGTGCCTCAACACTCCCTGCCATCATGTGATTTACAAAAAACAAACAAACAAACAAAAAAAACCCAAAAACTTCCTTGCTTTTTAAAACCATGGGGACTCTCCCCAACAGCTCTCTCCATGGGAAATTCCCTTGTCATCAACAAATACTATGTCAGGATTTCACTCACTCATCATAAGGAAGTCATCTCACTCTCATTTTCAGTTGCTAGAGAGGACACTGAGACCCGGCTGATCTGTGTGTTATGTTCTGGCTACCCAATGGCCAGGTCAGGACCGCACAGCCACATACAACGGTCCAGTGATGACAGTTCGAGGATCTGATGGGAGAAACAACTATGGATCTAATGGTGACTGTCTTTGTCCACATCAAGATGATGATCAATAATGAAGTCAACACCAAGAAAAAGCAGCCAAAGGAGGGGGCTGGAGACATTTGTGCCCCTGGATCCACCTGGATCTGAAATCCAAAACCCTGAACATTTTAGTTACCAGATTAAATGCATCTCCATTTTGATAGGAGTCAACTTATTGCGTTTCTGTCAAGTCCATAAATTGGTTTTCACTTCTGAATCCAGCCTCTGATCAGACTTTAGCCTCAGGCATGGATTCCAGGGTCCAACAGTCCCAACTTCCACCATCCAGTCCCTGCCCCCACCATGTATGACAGGTCACTAGTTTCTGCTGTTTGACCTATGGTTGTGGTTGACTAGTAGAGCAAATGGGTCACCCTGGAAGTAATTATAGCATGGAACCAAATAAAAGAGAGTGGGGTTAGATGAACATAATTCATGCCCCCTGTCTAAGCCTCAGTTGCCCTATCTGTAAGATGGGAGAATGGCAGTCCCTCTGTCTTGGAACCTGATGGAGGTTTTATGCAATGCCTGGTGTCTAATACATGTTCAAGAAACAGTGGCTGTCAACCTTTTCCTGACAGCCCACTGTAGAAGAGAAACGATCTTTTGTAGGTTCCCTGGGCAATGGAGGGACAGTGGAGAGGAAGGTTGGCACTAGGGGATTGGGGCTGGTCACAATGAGCAGCTCTGTCCCCTCTTCACTACAGGCCACAAACACCTGCCCAGCCAGCAGTGCACACCTGCCACCCATCACTCCAGGAAAGGGCTCCCAGCCAGCACTGGAAGGCGGCTTCTATTCTAGGCCAGATTCTGGCTGCTTGGAGTGTGGAGAGCTGTCAACCTG